TGGCACGCGTGCCACCAATGGCATGCGGCACCGTAACCAGTGGCACACTAGGAATAAGTGGAATAAGTGTACAAAATATTTATTTTATTTTCGGATCCTGAACGAGACCGCCGCCAGAGCGCGTCTCCCCGTTACCTGCAGAAGGAAGCCATGCGCGCAACGCAGCCCCACTCAAAAAGGCCGATCGCGAGACGTAACATACATGACACTTTTCTCTGTGTGCGGCAAAACAAGCTCGCCAAAATCGCTTCACCAGTCTGGCAGTATTTTAAGGTGTCCGAAAAAGACAATAAAATAGCGGTATGCAACGTGTGTGAAGCAGAAATCCTGCAGCTCCACCCGCTGTGACGGACCGGTGAGCGGAGCAGAACACACAAGAGTTAGACCTAACACACTTAGCTATTTTATCTACCTTTGGAACAAGTTATAAATATATTTATTCTTCACTGTCACTCATTACTGGATCAGTGAGCTGCATGAGATACTGACAGGCTGTCAGGAGAGAGAGAGAGGAGGAGAGAGGAAAAGAGAGCGCTTCCGCTCATTTCCCCCGTGTTATTATCCAAAGTTAATGTAAACTTGAATAATGTACTTCATTTGAATGTAACAATTATGTTGGTTGTTGTTTGTGGAAGCGCCAGTGAATGAGCCCCATTAACTGAGTTTTAAACATCACTTTTCACGAGTGTTTTCGTCGAGCTCTTCAACACCCTCTCCCCCCCCCCCCCCCCCCCCCCGTTGATAATTCACGATCGTCGGCACGCTGATAACATTTTTTTTTTAGAATGGCACTTCATATCAAAAAGGTTGCCGACCCCTGCTTTATAGTATAGAGAGGCGAAGTCCCGCCCATCTACTTCCGCCCCATGGGACCTTATTTCGGGAAAAAGTATGTATTGAAGTCAATGGGGAGAGAAAGATTATCTTTCTCTCCCGTTTGAATTGTGCCACGAATTACACATATGATGTTTGTCAATCTTAACAAATAATTTCCATGTCAAAAAAGTCACAGTTTGTCGTAAAACTGTTGAAATATAAGACTATGAAAAATACGCAACGAGAAAGACTACAAATCCCAGAGTCCCTGTCCTGCATGCTGGCTCTTAGGAACCGACTAACTCCCCTTGTGTGTATGCACAGCTCTCAACATGCCCAGACTTGGAGTGATTTTCACCTCTTTTAATACTTTCCGCCTCATTCTGAAAGAAAGAAGTGAAATGTGCCAACGTGACGGCCGTCTTGGTGTGTGGTGCGAGACGGGAGATGTAGTTCATTGAGCGGTTTCACACAAACTAAGTGTTACTTCACAGTGTTACTTCACATTTTTATTCTTTTTACTTGCAAAATTATCTTTTAAATTGACAAACATCATATGTGTAATTCGTGGCACAATTCAAACGGGATCAAAAGATCATCTTTCTCTCCCCATTGACTTCAATACATAATTTCTCCGAAATAAGGTCCCATGGAGGTCCCCCGGAAAGGGAGGGACTTCGCCTCTAGTTAAGAGAGACGGGGGGAAAAATGTAGTTTTTTCACTTTTGCTGCTGTTTTTACCACTAACTTTCCTTTTAGGACTAAGCCTGTGCACAAAGAGTTAATAATAATAATAACACATTTTATTTGTAAAGCCCCTTTCTTTGCTAAAAGTAATCCCAAAGTGCTACAAGGGGCGAAATAAATAAGTTATTTAATCAACACGAGTTTCTTATTTAAAGTCAGTCTACTCATTTTATTTGCATTTATCCGCACGGTCCCTTTGCTGCAACGAATAAAGGGTCTCTGATTATTATACGATACGATAATACTTTAATGGTCAGATCAAGTCTGAAATGCTCCTTGCATCACAGCAGCTCCATGTGTAACATCAACAGACAAATATCAAGACACAACACATTAGGGCTGTGCAATTAATCGTATTTTAATCTCGATTACGATTTTGGCTTGCAACGATTACGAAAACAACGTAATCGAAATAAAACGATTATTTTTTTTATTAAAAAAAAAAAAATTATTTTTTTTAATTATTTTTTTTATTGGTTTTTCAGTTGAATTATACTTAAAGTTCAGGGTAATCAACTGTTAAAAACATACTGTTCACATTTTTGTTTCAATAAATGGATGTTTTCAAAGTAAATGGATAATCGTTTTTAATAATCGTGATATCAATTATTGACCAAAATAATCGTGATTAGGATTTTTGCCATAATCGCACAGCCCTACAACACATGGAAAACAAACAACAAACATTGAACATAAGTGCAGGATGAGTGAGAGGAAACATGCTCAAAGAGTCTTCAGCGTGCATTTGATCTGGGATCAGCTCTGAGTGGGTCTGATACTGATATTGTGTCTCTGTCTGTGTGCAGGTGGGCATGGAGGTGGCCCCCCAGCTGAAGGACAGCCTGAACAGGAACTTCTTCGACCTGCTGGGCTCCTTCAGGCAGATCAGCAGCGAGAGCGTCCAGAACCAGCTGGTGCTGCAGAGGGTGGAGGTCCCAGAGTATCTGACCCTCTACTCCCCCGCCATCAACTGGATCCTGCAGTGCATCGCCTACAGAGCTCCAGAGGTAAGCAGTTTTTATGGAGATGTACATAAAAATCACAGCCGCCTCAGTTTACAGTCCCCTCAAATCTACACGTTATTGCTCACATACACATTCAGGGTTGGGTTGTAACGGAAAACATGTAACGGAAAACATGTAACGGCGTTACGTAATCAGAATACAAAAATCAAATAACACCGAGGCGTGTGGCGCAGTGGGTTGTGTGTTGGTTTTCGGATCAGGTGGTCACAGGTTCAAACCCCACTGCAGTCAGCATGTCGTTGTGTCCCTGAGACACTTCACCCCAAATTGCTCTTGTGGGGATTGCCCACAGTATTGAGTATTTAAGTCGCTTTGGATAAAAGTGACATGTCATGTAATGTAATGTATTCAGCTCGCGTTACATTTGAAAAACGAGTAATCTGATTATAGTTACTTTCGTAAACCTGAAGTGAATACATTTTGGAATACTTATTGGAATTATTGGTGGAAAGGTTTCCTCACAAAATGTAATATTCATTACCGGAATATCTGTGTGCACGGCGCTGCACACAGATATTCCTCTTACATTATTTTGAGGTTCAACTTGGAGTTGGAGTAACAAATGTTTGAATGTGTTTGTGTTTTAACTTCCAGCCTCTGCTCATGGAGATGATGGAGAGATGCAAGAAGCTGGGGAACAAGTGAGTGCTTTTTAAAGACAGTAATATCTCCTGAGAGAAATGAAGACATGTGCTTTTTGTACAGTAGAATGCTACCTTTGGACCAACAGGAAACAAAATAGAATTAAAAATCTAATCTGCCACGATCTCACTGTTTCAGAGCCAGGTCTAGTTTGTCGGCTTTTATATTAAGAAATGTTTCTACTAACAGATTTTCATGGATTAGACTTTTTACAACACAGATTTGAACATGTTCCTGTTTCCCACAGTGCTTTGCTGCTGAACTCGGTGATGAGGGCGTTCAGTGCGGAGTTTGTCGCAGCTCGAGCCACAGACTTCATCGGGATGATCAAAGACTGCGACGAGGCCGGGTTCCCAAAGGTGGGAAAACATCAACAATTATAATATATATTCATCCCTTACATGTAGATATGAGAAGGAACAGCCCTCGAATGTTACAATTTCACACAGGAAATGTGAGTTTATTGATTTTTTACATGTATCACATTACACAAACACAACCGAACATTCCCCAACATTAGCCATATGGCAGATTACAAAATAATGCTATAAAATAAACAATAAAATCAGTTTAAAGTACAGACCAAGAATATAATTACATTTGCAAATTAACAAATTCAACAAAAAAGGCACATCCACAAACAGAGCAGAGTACAGTTTACAATTCTCCAAATAGATGAACCATATTCAACATTTCCTCACAGTAGTTAAGTCTTTTCAATGTGAGTTTATTCTACTGTTCAGTACAATGACATATTGGGCCATTGTAGGTCAGAACAATTTCAAAATAGGGAGCCAGGGGAGAGGGGGGTTATATTTGGGGAATATTCACTACGATTATAACGTAAAAACATAGCCAGCAAGAACATTCTGTAAATTCTCTGAGATTTTAGATTTCTTTAGCGATAAAGAAAATGGTAATAAAGTAGGTTTTTTTGTTCAAGAAAAAAAAGGCTTTATACTTTGAAGGGACCCCTGTGTCGCCGGTTTTAATACTAGAAGTAGTAGTAGCAAAAAACACACACAAATGTATGACTTAATTTTCAGAGATTTTGCATTTTTTCCTCGTAAAAAAATATGGAAATCATTTATTTCTGTTCAACTCTCCTCCAGCTGAATTTCTCCTTTCTGTTTTATTTACCCTTCCAAGGTCGTAATACACTCTTATAGGTTTATGTTAAAGCATATTAAATGTGCTTTAAATGTGTCTTTCCCCCCCCATACAGCACCTGTTGTTCGGCTCTCTGGGCCGCAGCGTGGCCTGTGCCGACCCTCCAGAGTCTGAGCGGCTCACCATCCTGAACGAAGCCTGGAAGGTGGTCACTAAAGTCCGCAGCCCTCAGGTACTGAAGAGAGACGCTGCTGCCACATGTGGAGGGAATTCTTAAGAGAAACTGATAAATGATTCATGGACAAAGTTTGTCTTTTGTTATATTTAATAAAGAAAGTCAATATACAAGTGAAATCGATCCCAAATGTAGGAACAGAGCAACTTCACCCTCAGAGGAGAGAGAAGTTCTGCACCCAGAACACAGCTCACAGAAACACTATAGAGTAGAGAGAATATCCAACTGGTCCCACCCTTAAATTCATTTAGGCATCATCTAAACATCCCATCTTTAAAGGTCCCATGTCACGGCCATTTCTACTGATCATAATTCCATTGTTGAGGTCTACTAGAATAGATTTATATTGTTCATTGTTCCAAACTCACATTGGTTCCTCATACAGCATCTCTGTATAGTATGTGTATTCACTCTCTGTCCTAAACGGCTTGTTGGAGCTCCTGCCCCCCCCCCCCCCCCTCCCTGTGAGCCCAGTGTGCTCTGATTGGTCGGGACGTTGCGAGGCTCGCTGCTGCGAGGAGCGGACAGGTTTCCGGGTCGGCGATACAGCGAGAACAAGCGAAACTCATTCTGAGCACACACAAACACTCACAGCCGAAGTAAAAACAATAACGGTACGTCTACACAGCAGCGTTAAAAAAATCTTGGAGGTGGGCGTATCTGAAGCTTGAGGATTTTTTGCGAGCAACCAATCACATGAATCTCCCGCCCGCGACATACGAAGCAAAAAAGCCCGAAGTAAACTGGATATAAACTCCCCAAAACAGGCGAAAACCTACCACTGTCTCTGCCACCTCCCTCCATGCCTGGCTCCTCCGGTTTGTATCCCGGTAGGTAAATAGGGTCTGGTCATAAAGCACCGGGTGATTGATTCGCTACCGCTAATTTCTCCTCCATTTTTTGGAATATGAGGAAATGACCTGCGGTATGTCTCTCCCAGCATACACGCCGTTTGATTGGCTAGAGCTTGAACTGTCAGATTTGCGTACACGGGATTTGATTGGCTGACGCTTCCACCTCAGCCTCAAAAGTTGAACATTGCTCAACTTTGAATCCTCAAAATCCTGAAAATCTCCGCTCGCCTGCCCACAATGCATTTCGGTGAAAAGTGACGTCACCCCATTCAAAGTGAATGGGCAGAAGTGTTTCAAGATTTTTTTAACGCTGCTGTGTAGACGTACCGTAAGTGTGGCTTGATATTGAGAAAGAAAAAGGTTTATAACGCTGTGAGAATGGGTCTGCGGAGAGCATTTCTCCGCCATCCCAACTCGTCTATTACCAGCATTCAGGGAGCTCTATGCAAGTCAATGGGGACTCCCTGTTAGTTAGCCAAGGGATCCTGGTGTGTGAGGTGCTCCAAGGATTGGTCCATTTGGGCCAATCCGGTCATTTGTTGTTGATTTGGGTGTTCACACGTCACTGAACCCAGGAAGCAAACAATGGAAAAAGAGAAATCTCCAACGAGGCGTTCTGGGGCAGCATAGACAGGTCTTTTCTGTGTTAGAGTTTTACTCGCTACAGGGTGTACTTTGAGGGTTTGTGACTCTGCAGACCGTTTACATGCAGACAAACCTTCATAACACACAAGGGGACGGGTCATAACCAGAAAAGCATGACATGGGACCTTTAAACCATTAAACCTCCCTCGTCCTTAACCATTTGCAAATCCACCTTTTACTTCCTTTGCCCTCCTGAAATGCAAATCCTTAACATATGTCTCTGTTAAACACATACAAGACTAAAAATACAATTCAACAGAGTAAAGGCAATCAGTGTTTTAAATGATTATATGATCATTTGACACCACACCACACAGCTGTTAACAAAAACATGTTTTATAAGCCTCTGAATGTGTTCCTCAGGATTACATCAACTGTGCTGAGATCTGGGTGGAGTTCACCTGCCGACACTTCGCCGTGAGTGACGCTCGCCTGTAACACCTTTCATTGCATCTTATTACGAGATTTGAATCACTTTTGATCACCTTTTTTTTTTTGTTCCTCTTCCTCTCAGAAACGTGAGGTGAACACGGTTCTGGCGGACATCATCAAACACATGACTCCTGACCGGGCCTTTGAGGACGCTTATCCTCAGGTGAGCAGCACAAGGAAATCAAAAATGTTGCTCTTTTTAAATCATAAATGATAAGATATAAAATGATAATTATCTGCAGCCGCTTTAAAGTGACTAAACATGGCTGCCTTGTTAATGTAGTGAAGCAGTAGTGTTCATTTTCTGTCGTATATGTTGTTACGTTGTGATCTGCTGCTGCTGCCGTCTTGGCTTTATACTGTGACACATAAAACCGTAGTAAGCTATAGGCAAACTCTTTTTTTAAATCCCCTTGTCTCCTTAAAACGTATCCTTTCTCCGTCCTTTTTTTCTACCTCCAGCTGCAGTCAGTGATCAGGAAGATCCTCACCTACTTCCAGGACTTCTCCGTCCTCTTCTCCATGGTGAGCAGACGACACTTTAATGGAAGTATTGAAAGATTTGTGTTTTTCTATCGTGCATCAGTTCCTAAATGTCTCCCATGTTTCTGTTTCTCAGGAGCGTTTCCTGCCGTTCCTCGACATGTTCCAGAAGGACAGTGTGAGGGTGGAGGTGTGCAGATCCATCATGGAGGTCTTCATCAAGTAAGAGTTCCCACAGAGTCTGATGGATGAGATTTATTTATACTTTGTGACATAAAAAAAGGTTATGAATCTTTCCTTTGTCTCCTGCAGAAACCAGGCGGATCCGACCAGAGACCCAGTCATCCTGAACGCCATGCTGCACATCTGCAAGACCATGCACGACTCTGTCAAGTACGCTGTGTGTGTGTGTGTGTGTGTGTGTGTGTGTGTGTGTGTGTGTGTGTGTGTGTGTGTGTGTGTGTGTTGTGTGTGTGTGTGTGTGTGTGTGTGTGGTGTGTGTGTGTGTGTGTGTGTGTGTGTGTGTGTGTGTGTGTGTGTGTGTGTGTGTGTGTGTGTGTGTGTGTGTGTGTGTTGTGTGTGTGTGTGTGTGTGTGTGTGTGTGTGTGTGTGTGTGTGTGTGTGTGTGTGTGTGTGTGTGTGTGTGTGTGTGTGTGTGTGTGTGTGGTTCATGTTTCTTCTACATCAACATGTGTCCCCTCTTCTTCATGTCTCTTCTTCATCAACATGTGTCCCCTCTTCTTCATGTCTCTTCTACATCAACATGTGTCCCCTCTTCTTCATGTCTCTTCTACATAAACATGTGTCCCCTCTTCTTCATGTCTCTTCTACATCAACATGTGTCCCCTCTTCTTCATGTCTCTTCTACATCAACATGTGTCCCCTCTTCTTCATGTCTCTTCTTCATCAACATGTGTCCCCTCTTCTTCATGTCTCTTCTACATAAACATGTGTCCCCTCTTCTTCATGTCTCTTCTACATCAACATGTGTCCCCTCTTCTTCATGTCTCTTCTACATCAACATGTGTCCCCTCTTCTTCATGTCTCTTCTACATCAACATGTGTCCCCTCTTCTTCATGTCTCTTCTACATAAACATGTGTCCCCTCTTCTTCATGTCTCTTCTACATCAACATGTGTCCCCCCTCTTCTTCATGTCTCTTCTACATCAACATGTGTCCCCTCTTCTTCATGTCTCTTCTACATCAACATGTGTCCCCTCTTCTTCATGTCTCTTCTACATCAACATGTGTCCCCTCTTCTTCATGTCTCTTCTACATCAACATGTGTCCCCTCTTCTTCATGTCTCTTCTACATCAACATGTGTCCCCTCTTCTTCATGTCTCTTCTACATAAACATGTGTCCCCTCTTCTTCATGTCTCTTCTACATCAACATGTGTCCCCTCTTCTTCATGTCTCTTCTACATCAACATGTGTCCCCTCTTCTTCATGTCTCTTCTTCATCAACATGTGTCCCCTCTTCCTCATGTCTCTTCTACATCAACATGTGTCCCCTCTTCTTCATGTCTCTTCTACATCAACATGTGTCCCCTCTTCTTCATGTCTCTTCTACATCAACATGTGTCCCCTCTTCTTCATGTCTCTTCTACATCAACATGTGTCCCCTCTTCTTCATGTCTCCTCTACATCAACATGTGTCCCCTCTTCTTCATGTCTCTTCTACATCAACATGTGTCCCCTCTTCTTCATGTCTCTTCTACATCAACATGTGTCCCCTCTTCTTCATGTCTCTTCTACATCAACATGTGTCCCCTCTTCTTCATGTCTCTTCTACATCAACATGTGTCCCCTCTTCTTCATGTCTCTTCTACATCAACATGTGTCCCCTCTTCTTCATGTCTCTTCTACATCACCATGTGTCCCCTCTTCTTCATGTCTCTTCTACATCAACATGTGTCCCCTCTTCTTCATGTCTCTTCTACATCAACATGTGTCCCCTCTTCTTCATGTCTCTTCTACATCAACATGTGTCCCCTCTTCTTCATGTCTCTTCTACATCAACATGTGTCCCCTCTTCTTCATGTCTCTTCTACATCAACATGTGTCCCCTCTTCTTCATGTCTCTTCTACATCACCATGTGTCCCCTCTTCTTCATGTCTCTTCTACATCAACCATGTCTCTTCTACATCAACATGTGTCCCCCTCTTCTTCATGTCTCTTCTACATCAACATGTGTCCCCTCTTCTTCATGTCTCTTCTACATCAACATGTGTCCCCTCTTCTTCATGTCTCTTCTTCATCAACATGTGTCCCCTCTGTGTAAAGAGACTCTGAAAGTTTCAGGAACAAAGATTCTCTCTCTTTTTCTCCTGATCCATTTATATAAAAACCTGTCTGAAAATGAGCTGATCAGATTTTGGCCACTTTATGATGTCATAACGATGTTTTGGCTTGTGTAACCGTTAGCCAATCAGCAACCAAGGTAACCCCCCCCCCCCCCCCCCCTTATCACCTGAATCTCCTCCTAGAGCACCTTTGTGTTCTTTGTAACCAAATCTCTCTCAGAGGGGCGTGGGGAGGGGCTCCTTATTTTCATCTAAAGTAACAGACAGAGAATCAGCACTTTGGAAACAGGGCTGAAACAGAGGGGATTATGGGTAATGCTGCAATGATCTGTTTGGTGTTTCAGCCAATCAGAGACATGCTCTGTATATATCTGAGACCTATAATATATTGATGAAAAACAGTATAATAGGGGACCTTTAATGTACTGACATAATCCCCCAGGATATGTTGTAAGGCTCTGCGTAACATTTGCTTGTATTGAATATAACTATAAGAAATATATGTTGATCTGAATTCTCCTAATCTGCCCGGCGACAGCCTTCATCAGTCCTCTCCTCTCCTCTGTCTGTTTGCAGTGCTCTGACTCTGGAGGATGAGAAGAGATCTCTGTCCCTGCTCATCATCGGCTTCATCCGCATGGTGAGAGTGCTCAGGCTTTCCTACAAAGATTAGACATTTTATATTTGCTTATGCTCAAGAAAACGAGTTATTTAATAAGGTTAATTCTTTCCTAATAAAAGCTGGGCACAGTAGTTTTTGTGAGAGGTTACAAGCGGGAATACTGTATATTTTGGGGACTATTTTCAGCGGTGGATTAATACACATTTTGGTGGAAAGAAAAGTCCTTATTGTGAGATCTTATTTCACCAATTTGTGAAGTCATTTTAATTATTTTGTGTTATGAAGTCATGATTTTGAGAACGTTTTTGACATTCAGGATCTTTTTTGTTGCGTCACATTGCCAGAAATGGGCTTTTAAAATTAATAATCTTCCTTTCTATCTGTAAGTAAATTACACTAAGTAACAAAAGCACTTTTTTCTCTCTCCTTACACACATTTTTCTGTCCGTGTGGATCCCAGGTTTCTTTTGGTCGTGACTTCGAGCAGCAGCTGAGTTTCTGTGTGGAGGCCAGAGCGTCGTTCTGTAACCTGGAGTCCGTGCTGGTGCAGCTCATTCACGTCAGTAATAATCTGGGTTATATGTTTAATATATATGTCATACACACACACACACACACACTCCTTAAAGTTCACTCTGTATTTGCAGACGGTGAACACGCTGGCCATGGAGACCAGCAGCGTGATGAGAGGGAATCACTCCCGAAAAACAGCAGCCTTCGTCAGGGTGAGTCGACAGACACACATCTGATTAATTGTATTTTATTACTATACATTTCTTTTATGAAAACATGATCCCTGCAGAGCACCATACTTTGCTACAGGATTTGAGATTCCAGCAGAGCCTGAGAAGCATTCAGCCCAGCGTGTGCTTCCCATGTCGGATGCTTTGAATGTATATTCTTCTTCTCCCTGTAGGCGTGCGCGGCGTACAGCTTCATCACCGTCCCGTCTCTCAGCAGCATCTTCAGCCGCCTCAGCCTCTACCTGCTGTCGGGTCAGGTCGCTCTCGCCAACCAGTGTCTGTCCCAGGGTGAGAGCTCAAAGTCAACTTTATTGTCAATCTTCCCGTTTGAGCTGCTGAATTTAGACTTTAAACATTAATTCAATATTCACCCTGTGTTACAATGATCTCTTGAAGATAAAATAATCTAATTTTTTTTTTTTTAAAGGGGACCTATCATGCAAAATGCACTTTTGTACGTCTTTTAAACATGAATATGTGTCCCCGGTGTTCCAGGGAACTCACCAAGTGTCAGAAAACACAACCCTCTCTATTTTCCTCCATACCCAAATCTCTAAAAAAGGGGCTGCAACGGATCTGATAAAAACTGATCCAGATTTGAACACTGTCCTGACGTCAGGACGGTGGCGCTACGGCTATTGGGCCAACTCCACCAATCAGGAGGAGACAAACACGGCCATTGCCGTTCGAAAGCGCTGGAGACGCTGTAGTACATATGCCAGGCCAGTAGGTGGTGCTGTTCTCACTGAATCAGCCCTTGCAGAGCAGAGCTAAAAAAAAGTGCAAATTGAGCAAAATGAGGCATGGCTAAAATGCATGATCTGTTTGGTATTTTCAAAAGAAAAAAGTATAAATATGCCTTATATAGGTATGGCCCTACACTATATTATTCAAATATAGCATGATAGGTCCACTTTAAGTAAATGGGAGACATGTCTAACACCAAATATACTATATCCGAATATCCTTTTACAAAGTCTGACACAACTCGTGCAGTATCATTTAAGTCCTACTAAACCCTTACTATCAAAAAATAAATCTGAATCGCACGGAGGAGTAGTGTGCCTTTGCAAGTGTGAGGATAACGTTTATAGTGAAAATACATTGTGAAGTAGTTGGCATACAACTGGAGAAATGAGTCTTGCATTATACTGTATGAGAGTTTGTAAATTAAAGGGGACCTATCATGCAAAATGCACTTTTTGATGTCTTTTATACATAAATGTGTGTCCCCGGTGTGTCAGGGAACTCACGCAGCGTCAGAAAATAAAACCTCTTTCCTCCGTACCCAAATCTTTTTAAAACGGGGATACAACGAGCGGATACAGATTTGCTGCCGATATGACGTCAAATCGGCGGCGGACCCACAGAAAGTTGCAATCAGAAACAATGCCTGACGTGTTTTGCACGTAATCTCGTCTTTGTTTACATTAGCAAGCCTCGCTAACACTCAGAGCTAACCTGTACTGGAGAGCACATGTGTTTTTAAAAAGCAGGAAATAAAAAAAGGAACTCACCTTGTGATAAACCTGCAAGAGAAAAAGCATTTGAGCTCCATACTGTTTCAGAAATAATCCTTGATGTGGTTTAGAACAGGATGGCGTTTTATTACAACAGAATTCTGATCAAGCTAAGGACCCAAAATCCGCGTTTCTCTAACAGGGCTGTATGAGCAGTATGAGGCATGGCTACAATGGGTGATCTGTTTGGGATTTTAAGCAAACTTCACAGACATGTTTTGTATAGGTATGGCCCTACAATATATTTTTCCAATATAGCATAATAGGTCCACTTTAAGTTTTTGAAATACTTTAGCCCCCATGAGTAATTGATATACAAATCCTTTCCTCCCTCCCTCCCGCCATCTCTCTTCATCTCCTCTCCTCCTCCTCTCAGCGGATGCGTTCCTGAAGGCAGCGGTCAGCCTCCTCCCAGATGTTCCTCGCTCCATCAGCGTTGAGGGGAAACTTCGCTCCTCTGAGAGCTTCCTGCTCGACTTCATCAACAACTTCCTGTCTACGCTGCTGGTCGTCCCGGTAACACATCCTTACCTCAGCCTTTCAGATCAGAAAGATGAGTCGAATGAGATAAGGTTCAAGGTTCAAGGCTTTTATTGTCATGTGTACATAGCTACAGTTTAGATATGTCAATGAACATCTTAGGTCACAGGCTCCTCCAACAGTGCAACACAATAAAACAGATAATAGTGCAAGTAGATACAAATAGAATATAATAGAAATAGTGCAGAATAGTCTATATACAAGTAATTGGAATATTGCTATATATAAGTTGCAAACAGATGAATGTTATGGATGTTATTTCTTTCAAAATGTCAGGTTTAACAGTCTTATGGCCTGTGTGTGTGTGTGTGTGTGTGTGTGTGTGTGTGTGTGTGTGTGTGTGTGTGTGTGTGTGTGTGTGTGTGTGTGTGTGTGTGTGTGTGTGTGTGTGTGTGTGTGTGTGTGTGTGTGTGTGTGTGTGTGTGTGTGTGTGTGTGTGTGTGTGTGTGTGTGTGTGTGTGTGTGTGTGTGTGTGTGTGTGTGTGTGTGTGTGTGTGTGTGTGTGCGTGTGCGCCTGTGTGTGTGTGTGTGTGTGTGTGTGTGTGTGTGTAGGACCACCCGGAGCACGGTGTTCTGTACCTGGTGCGCGGGCTGCTCAACATGGTGCAGGACTACAGCTGGGAGGAGAGCAGCGACGCCAAAGTCAGAGTTTACATCAGCGCTCTGCCTCTGTTAGCAGCCATGAGCCAGGAGAGCTACCTGTACTCCATCCCTAAAGGTGAACTCTCGCAGTGTCTGTGATACACTGAAATACAAATTACTGCTCATGTTTTCAGTTGTTTTTGTATATCCAGCAAAAATATACTTTTCTGTGAGCCCTTATTTTGGAACAGATTTTAGATAAAAGAAGTCTGCAGTATTTGTTTACCTGTTGAAACCAAGCGGCAAACTCTGGGGCAGAGGAGCCCATAAGGAAGTACCACAAACTGCAGTTCATCTATTGGCCGATAGGGGATGGCTGCAGAAAGGAGCAATTTCCATAGACCCCCATGTTAAAATGCCCAACTTTACAGCAGAAATAAACATGTTTCTACCCCTGGATGCAATACAAAATATTCTGGATATAGTTAGATTCCACCTTCATGACAATGGATTGGGGAGTGCATGTTTTTATAACGCACCCCTTTTAGTTATATTAGGTCTTAAAGTTGTTGCATAAATTAGGGCGTGGTCACTTTGATGGACAGGTCTCTGCGGTGACTGCTGCTTCTAGCTTTCTGTTCCTCTGCTAGCTCTGTTAGCTCCAGGATGCTACAGGGGCTCAGCTGCGAGGCTGATCCGGGGAACACAACTTGAACTCGGACGTGTTTGTTGTGTTGGTGCCTGGTGGAGTATTCTTCATTTAAATATCGGACTTGTCTTATGCCGCCTCGGCTCCGCCTCTTTGCCCTTATTTGGATCAGGCTATTAGTTAGACTCTGACGTCACTGTCGAGACGGCAGCGGCCGACTCCGCCTACTAAGGGCTTCTCAGCAACTCTGCAGAAACCTATGGGTGACGTCACGGACACTCAGGGCCGTCCCTGGCCAACTTGAGGCCCCACGCAAAGTTATATGATGAAGCCCTCTGTTTTGCGAGCGTCGACGGGGGGGGTGGTGCTAGTGGAGCCTCGAAACCGTGCCGTGCCACACTAATTGTAGCGCATAAGTGCGGCTCAGTTGAGGCTCGCTCCGCAAGGTGAGGCCCCACGCAGTCTGCATGATCAGCCTGTAGGGAGGGACGGCCCTGCGGACACTACGTCCATTTATATATACAGTCTACGGTTGAAACACTGACTAAGATAACAGTCACAGTAATATTCAACTATCTTTCCAAATGTGACAATGTATTAAAGTTGATACAGTCATGTTAATTGGGCCTTATTCCAAATGAGGCATGGCTTCCAATTTAGACATGTCGGGTTATAGGATAATTTTGTAGACGTGTGTGCAGTGCATTTTGAATAGCATCTCAAGGAGTTTTTTTAAACATTACTTATTTTCTGTAACTAGAGAAGCTTGCCAAACAGAAAACCCCTCATTTCTGGTCAAAAGGAGAAACACACCTACTTTTAACATGTTCAAAGACTTGGATATAAAAAAAGGTTATGGATATGCACAAATAATCCAATGTTACTTATGACAAAAGGAAAAGTACGAGTCCCCAACAGCTGGTTACTATTACTATTGTCTTTTTCTAAATAAGGGCAAATCATTGTTACTGTGCTGCTTTATGCCAAGAGACTCTACTTGTTATGTTACTCAAGTTATAGTGGTTAACAGTGGGATTTTTGTTTCCTCTTCCTGGTCTCAGTGGACTCCAACGAGACCCTGTATGGAGGAGACCCCAAGTTTCTGTCTGAGATCAACAAGCTGTGTGAGACTCTGATCGGACAGATCCTGGATCAGCTGAAGACGCTCGGCCGGGACGAGGTGAGGCAGAAACTCCTCCTCTCATTCCTATCATGCAAAATGCACTTTTTGATGTCTTTTATACATAAACATGTGTCCCCGGTGTGTCAGGGAACTCACGCAGCGTCAGAAAATAAAACCCTCTCTTTTCCTCCGTACTCAAATCTCTAAAAACGGGGCTACAACGGAGCTGATCCAGATTTGCGTCCGATATGACGTAATATCTGAAATGTGGACCCACGGCCCTATCAGAAACGTTGCTATCAGAAACAATGCCCGACTGTTTTGGACGTAATATGGTCGGTGTTTACATTAGCATCGCTAACACTCAGAGCTAACCTGTACTGGAGAGCATGTGTGTGAAGAAGCAGGAAATGAAAAGGAACTCACCTTGTGGTATAACCGGCAAGAGAGAAAGCCTTTGAGCTCCATACTGTTTCAGAAATAATCCTTGATAATCCATGATATGGCGTTTCATCACGGCAGTATTTAGTTTAGACAGTAGCTGCCAGGTCCCGCATGAGCTCAGCCCCCTCCTTTTTTTTAAGCTTTATTCCCCAAATCATCACTTTTGAAACAGGAAGTGAAATAGAGGGATATGAGGCATGGCTAGAATGGGTGATCTGTTTGGTATTTTGAGCAAAACACTTCATAGACATGTTTTTTATATATTTGTATATATCTGAGACCTATGCTATTGCCTAAAAATAGCATGATAGGTGACCTTTAAATGTCTGCCTCATGTTGTTATTGTATTCATGTTTCTGTGGTCTTCATTTTGTTCTTTCTTGTGAAGCACTTTGTGGATTGTATTTCTGTGAAAGGTGCTATACTAAATAAACGTATTATTATTATTATTAAGGCTCGACAAAGTTGGAGCGAAGACCTATTGTAATCCTAGGATTAATTTGTATTATTATTATTATTCTTTTTTTTCTACCAAATGAATTTCCTTTTTGAGGGCCTGAGAATGCTTAAAAGACGGAGATCTTTTTTTGAACACTTGTCGGGTCAGGTGTAAATATATTTATATTGGGGGTTTCACAAGTGGCGCACACAAAATGGCTCTATAGCGCCCCCTAATTATTATTATTATCCCCCCCCCCCTGTAGCAGAGCGCTCGTCGGCAGGCCTCCATGGCCTTCTCTCTGTTCGGGGTGCTGCTGGCTCACGGAGATCTGAGGAACAACAAGCTGAGTCAGCTGTTCGTCAACCTGTGGAACCTGAGCCAGAAGCATGGACACAGTGAGACCAGAGTGTCTGTGAGTACACACACACACATCTCACGCACACGCACGCATGCACGCGCACACACACACACACATCTCATACACATCTCACACACACACACAGTGAGACCAGAGGCCTGTACTACGAAGCTGGTTCAACTTAACCTGGATATGTTGGAGTTAGCCGGTTGGCCTAAGCCAAAACATACGCGCTCTGGCTAAGCTGTACTACGACGCCGGTTATCAAGTGGATCGCTCAAGCCAGCCGTGTCCTATCTAGTTAGGTGCGCGTTCACATGAAAGGGGTGGTATTTGGAGCATTCGACCAATCTCAAACACGGACAAGCGTACTGACAGCGCAGCATCATACTTCCTGAATGAAAAGTGAACTTTAATATTAGTCAAATATGAAGAAGTTAAACTTTAAACATCCATGACTTAAACACTTTATCCAGGATAAAAGCCACATAGCTGCACCTGCAAGGTGAATACAGCTGGTAAAAGAAAAAGTGTTTGAATGCGTACATTAACAGGTTTATGATATCACTGCCCCGTCCAAGACACGAGTGGATCTGACTTTAATTACATTTGACTCGAGTGTTTCGTCAACTTAATGTGTTGCTTAAAATAATACTTCTGCATACAGTATGTGACACTGTGAGTGTTGCACGGCCAGATACGGCTCAAGAAGCTGACTCAAATAAGGAAATATATGATACATTATGATGTGATATGATATGAATGATAATGGGACACATCGACGTCTGCACTCACAGTGCCGCGGACTGTACTTAATGTTACTCTGAACCGGTTACTTATGTTGTGGCAGATATTTAAGTAAGCTTTCTTAACGCTAATATTATAATAGTCAGATTGCTCTGAAGATGGGAGGGGATATTCTATTAATTTTCACGTTCACACAGTCAGTTGATTTTTGCCGGCTGTCTTTCCTGCAACGGCAGTTTTTCTGTATTTCCTCTATCCTGTAATATGAATTGATCGCTTTAAACTCCGCACACGGAGCTCTGATTGGTCAGCAGGCGGTGCTTTCACTGAGTTGATCTCTTAGCCTGCAACCTAACCTGCTCCGGAGCAGGTTTGCCGCTCAGCATAAGTTACCATGGAAATCTAGCCTGCTAAAAAGAGAACCAGCGTCGTAGGACCGGAAAGCCCGAGATTTCCCTGAATTTAGCCGGCTAAGCGAAAATCCAGCTTCGTAGTACAGGCCTCAGAGTGTCTATGAGTACACACACACACACACAGATCTCACACACACACACGCACACAGACACACTCTTTATTATTGTAAAGACAGAAAACTCTCGTCTTTTTTACTCTCTCACACACACACACACACACACACACACACACACACACACACACACACACACACACACACACACACACACACACACATTTCTCACACAGCTGCATCTATGATTGTTTCGGGATGCGCTCGGGCTTCTTGGTTATCTAATTTGACACTTCCTGTTTGAGGTTCAATAACTCCCGCTGCCCACAAGTTGGTTTTAAACAGCACTTCATTTGGAAGTGGGGAGTGGGAGGGTGTGGTAATTCCTGTCTGCTATCTCTATCACTTCCTGTCTCCTCTCTATGACTTCCTGTCTCGTCTGTCCATGACTTCCTGTCTCCTCTCCTCTGCAGGTCAGGACTCTGGACTTCCTGAAGCTTCAGTCCCAGCAGGCGGACATGTCTCACCTCTCAGAGACGGTGCAGCGCCTCGCTCTGCAGACTCGCACCTGAACAGGTCGCTGCAGCGAGGAAGTGTAAATACCAGATATCAAGAAGAAGGAGAAGAAGAAGAAACGCCTTACTGTATTTTGTGTGAGGACACTTTGTGAATACTTAATTTTACATATTTAGTTGGACCAATATAAACAGTATTAATGACTGAAGCTGTTCTCGTGCCAAAATCCCTTGCTTTTGCAGTCATTTACCATAGATCAATAAAACTACTGAAACCTTAAAGAAAAGTATTCTAAGTTGTGTTCTTTGCTTTTATTCAGTGTCAAATTTTGCAAAAAACTTTGATTACTCCACACGTTTTCTGGTCTTCTGTCTCTAGGCTCAATTGTGTGATTTTGTCCTGATATTAAAAGTATAGAATTTAAAGGGGACCTATCATGCAAAATGAACTTGTGTACGTCTTTTATACATGAATATGTGTCCCCGGTGTTCCAGGGAACTCACCAAGTGTCAGAAAACACAACCCTCTCTATTTTCCTCCATACCCAAATCTCTAAAAAAGGGGCTGCAACGGATCTGATAAAAACTGATCCAGATTTGAACACTGTCCTGACGTCAGGACGGTGGCGCTACGGCTATTGGGCCAACTCCACCAATCAGGAGGAGACAGCCACGGCCATTGCCGTTCGAAAGCGCTGGAGACGCTGTAGTACATATGCCAGGCCTGTAGGTGGTGCTGTTCTCACTGAATCTGCCCTTGCTAAAAACAGAGCTAAAAAATGTCAATTTGAGCGAAATGAGGCATGGCTAAAATGCATGATCTGCTTGGTATTTTGAAAAAGAAAAAGTATAAATATGCCTTATATAGGTATGGTCCTACACTATATTATTCAAATATAGCATGATAGGTCCACTTTAAGAAGTTTCTAGCAATGTGATGAAACTATAAGGTCCTTTAAGTCAGTATAATGAACAAAATCCTCAACAAAGGAGTTTGATTTCAGCCTTAAAGACCACAATCTCATTATTTTGAGGTCCTAAATCCTTTTTCTCAAGAAAATGTGGTATTATTTGGAGAAAAGCCGTTATTTTTTGCGAAAGATTACAGGAACTTGTTTTTTTCCGTTCACTGTCAGAAATGGGCTTCCATAAGTGAGCAATATACCGTGTACTGTTAAAGGTGGGGTGGGTAGTTCACTTCAGAAACACTTTTTGTTATATTCCATGGAATGCTCTTAAAGGTAGGTAAGAATGGAGAAACCAGCTCGAGTGCGCTCAGTAGCGGTTCTAGAACATTTTACATGGGGTGGCAAAGGGGGGGCAAGAGGTCATGCCAGGGTGGCATGGGAGGGCGGACAGTACGTGGTATTTGATACTGTATATATAACCTATTTATTGTTAAATCATGCCCTAACACAAGTGTTCTTAATGCACAAGAGAAACAAGGTGTTCAGACCAACAAACTAACATATAGTATAAAACAGCAGAAAATACTCACGATACCCTAGAACTCTGCTTACTGGAAGTAGCCTACAGTAAAAGTACTTAGTTATAATGAAGTACACAAATGACATCACCCATCTCTTCAGAGAGCTAAAGGTGACCTGTGCAGCAACACATTTCAATATGTGTCAATACTAAGAGCTGCTAGATTGTGCTGCTGTGATGGAATATGTATGGAGAATAAAAACATACCATGTGGTCCAGCTGGAGTCTCCTCTGCCTCCTGACCCCTGCCTCTGGCCCTCTTTCTGACACTTCATCTTTATTCCTCACATACATTTCTTCTTCTTCACTAATGTCTTCATCTCCTCCTCTTCCTCCTGCTCTGACCCTCCTGGTCTCTTCATCTCCTCCTCTTCCTCCTGCTCTGACCCTCCTGGTCTCTTCAGTGAACTCTCTTTTCCTTTTCCTCTATCTGTTCATCCTGATCACTTCTCAGATGTCTATGTGTTGTTGTTGAATCACTCCAGCTACTCTGGCCTGCAAGAGTCTACTTGTGAAAAGCACTGGTCCAAATGCTTGTATAACTTCACACGTTAGGGCCAGCTAATAAGCAGGGCCGTCCCTCCCTACAGGCCGACCATGCAGACTGCGTGGGGCCTCATCTTGCGGAGGGGGCCTCATCTTGCAGAGGGGGCCTCATCTTGCGGAGGGGGCCTCAACTGAGCCGAAAATGCGGCGCGCTTATGCGGTGCAATTAGTGTGGCGCGGCTCCACTAGCATGAGGGAGGGGACAGACTGAGTGATGATGAACACTGTGCTTTGTTTCAGGAGGTAACTCAGTTATTCAATCAGGAGAGACGGCTTTGATAAGAATACATATTTATTGCCAGGAATACACAAATGAATGTGATGGAGTTTTGGTGATTAGGCCCCGTTGTGCAGAAGTATCCTTTGGGAGGGGAGAACCGATCAGATGAAACCCCCCGGGGTCTAGACCCTGGTGGTGGTGAACGGATAGTTGGGGTCGGTCTGAAGGGGAGGGGCTTAGCTTGACCCTGGTGGTGGTGAATCGATAGTTGGGGTCGGTCTGAAGGGGAGGGGCTTAGCTTGACCCTGGATTCAGAGGAGGTGAAAAGGGGTGGAGGAGGGTTGCGTCGAGTCACCTGAAATGACGGCTGTCAGAGGGGGGAGCAGATTTAAAAGGGTTAGCAGAGCGCTATGATAGGCTCTTGAGAATAGAGCGAAGTGATTGGTTAAGCTGGAGAGTGACGCCCCCGATCACTTATTGAGAGGAGAGAGAGAGTAGTAACATGTAAATAGTAAATGAAGGAGTAAAGACGGTCTTCCTGGTTGAACTTGCGCTGAGCTTCATTTAGTCTCAGATCACTTCCACATGTTCTCCATCAGCTTCGTATGGCACCTTGGACATAACACAAGAAGAACATCCTGTTTTTGTTTTTGAAAGACAAACCTTTATTAATGATCCAAACATTTCATTTGATCACACATCCCATCAGTAAAGTCTGTTCAATGATTTCATGATCAGTTTCACTTTATCCACACCATGTGTTTCATCTCAGCTATTTCAAACAGAGTCATACATGATTTCCTTATTGATTATTAACATGATAAGTTATGTTCTATAAAACATCAGAGTACCCACTTTCTATTTGGACAACAACAACAACAACAATTAGTCTGCAAAAAAATAACATTTTATTTCCCAAGCAAAGACTCTAAGCTATTTACAGGAGAATAATGAATGATGTACTTATTGATTATGATCATGACAGTAAGTAATATCATTTTAAATAAACATGTGATGATGAAATAAGTGTTATAACCATCTGGGAACTCATTTGTAGTTAATTTGGGCAACAATAACATTTAATCTGTCTAAATAATACATGTGATTATAAATGCCTCTATTGTTTTAGAAAGTGGGCAGAATAAAATGTGTAGAATAAAAGAAGCTCTGCTGCTTTCTCTCTGAAGACTCGTGCATTACAAGAGAAACAACAACATGAATCAAAAGAAATATCCAACACATATTTAGAGCAAAGTTTACATATCAGTTCAGGTGAACAAGGATCCTCCTGAGCAGTGACAGCCTCCATGGCTACACAGACACAGGAAGGAGCCGGAAGAAAGTCCAACCTTTACAGAACAACTCATGAGGAGATGTTGAAGCACATCCCATCATGTTTGATTGACAGCTGATCTCTGCACAGTGAAGACATGAACAATCAGCTCTGATGGACACACGGTGAGTTTAAGAAGTAGAAGAGTTCCTCCAATGACTTCAGGCTATTTCAGTTTACAAAACTCAGCAGTGTCTCCATAACTCTGATAAGGCCGAACTCCAGCATGTAGCGGCTGAGTGAATGTGGTCTGCACTCTGTGGAGGAGAGTCATGGTTTCAGAGACGCTGTAGAAGGACAGAATACCTGCTCTGTGATCCAGGTACACTCCTACTCTGGAGGACAGAGGACCTGAGACGGGAGTGGTGATACTGTTGTAACAAAATGAATAACTGTTTAGTTTACAATCTAAGGACCAAGATTTGTCATTGTATCCAAATCGACTTCCCCCTGCTCTGCTGATATTCTTGTATGCGACTGCTACACGAACTGCTCCCCCTCTCCACTCCACCTCCCAGTAACAACGTCCAGTCAGACTCTCTCTACTCAGGACCTGATACCATCCAATGAATCTGTCTGGGTGACTAGAATAAGACTGTGGTTGTTTCATGAGTGTTGCTTTTCTGCTCCCCTCAGATAATAACAGATGTGTCTCTGCTGTGTTTGGATCCAGAGTGATCTCCTGTGAATATTGTAAGAACCCAGCTCTGGTGGTGGGCTCTGCTGCTGACAGTAAAACCTCCACCTCAGTCGGTGAGACGTTTGTCCATTCCTCTCTCAGGACGTCCTGTAGTTTGTCTCTGACTGCTGACAGGGCCGCCGTCACGTCCTCAAAGTAGCTCAGAGGACGGATGTTGATGCTGGAGGAGTGTGTAGGTTCACTGAGGGCTGACAGTGAGGGGTAGCTGTGCAGAAACTGGTTGTGATCCTCTGTGTGAGACAGCAGCTTCAGCTCAGCGTCTCTCCTCTTCAGCTCAGAGATCTCCTGCTCCAGCTTCTCCTGAAGCTCTTTGACTCGACTCACTTCTCTCTTCTGCTGGGATCTGACCTGCTGCTTCACATCAGAGCTTCTCTTCTCCATGAGACGGATCAGCTCAGTGAACATCTTCTCACTGTCCTCCACTGCTTTATCAGCAGAGCCATTGACGGCCTCCACCTCCTGCTGAAGCAGCTTCACCTCCTTCTCTCCGTCCTGGATTCTCTGCTGGATGTTTAGTCGACTCCCCTCCAGCTCTCTCTGCCTCTCAGTCCTCTCTGCAGCAGCTGACACCGTGTCGTGGCCTTTGTGTTCGTCCACAGAGCAGAGATAACAGATACACTGCTGATCAGTGCGGCAGAACATCTTCATCACCTCGTCGTGACGAGAGCAGATGTTCTCCTGGAGCTTCTTGGAGGGCTCCACCAGCTTGTGTTTTTTAAAGACAGGTGATTCATAATGAGGCTGGAGGTGTTTGTCACAGTAAGAGGCCACACACTGCAGACAGGACTTACAGGCTCTCAGTTTCCTCCCAGTGCAGACATCACAGGCCACATCTTCAGCTCCAGCATAGCAGAGATCAGCAGGAGCAGGTGGGGGTCCAGTCTTCTTCAGCTCCTCCACTAAAGCTGCTAACATGGTGTTCTTCAGCAGGACAGGCCTCGGTGTGAAGCTCTGCCTACACTGAGGGCAGCTGTGGATCTCCTTCTCATCCTCTCCGTCCCAG